TTCTAATTTTATGATATCCTGCTGATCTTGCCCTCTTAATGTAATTATTCATTTTCTCTTGCTTTAGTTTTCAAGAAATATGTCTTTATGTGTTTAACAAAGAATAAGAAAAAGGTAATTTCAATGGCAATTAAATAACCGCCGGACGGAACGCTATGGTAACGGGACTCCTCTTGACATATGTTCAGCAGATATTAGAATCTTTGACTGACTGTCTTAAAGCGCAGCTAATGAAGATATGGGAAGGGGAGAAAAAAAAATCTTTTCAAAGTAGAAAAAATGGTTGTCCAACTTTTCTTAAAAATAATACTAATTTTCTTGAATCCAATGCTACTTTCAGCTTGAAGTTCAAAACTGTATAATTCCCTAGATACCAAAGTTTGAATATTATGAGGTATAATTATGAAAATATTAAACAAAAAAAATCATATTTACTCTTCTACTGCACTATTTATTAAACATGACAATCGACCTTACGATCCAAGAAGAAAGCGAATGGGTATGTACGAGTTTTTAATGCCGAAGTTCGATACCTATTTAAATAGAGAAATTTTGCCCACCTCCAGACTGAAAACGCCCCAATTACAAGAGTTTTTAAAAAAAAATAAAATAGTTGTAACTTACGATGAGATGAAGCTAACCACGAAGTTTCAGCGGTTATGTTAATAATTTGATACAATGACTTCTGTATCAGAGACTAATTAGGAAACCTTTAGAATAAAACAAATGATGTTAACTTGACAAGAGCCATCTGTGGTCCCCTCCCGATAATCCCTCCGAGAATCCCTCAACACATTTTGACCTCTACCTCTAAACACTTAAGTTGTTCACTCTCCAATTTCATAAACACAAACATTATTTTTCCGACCATACCGACTCCAAAATACGCAGAAACTATTTTATTTATTTATACTATAATAAATCTCATTAAACTCAATAAGCCACTCCAATGTCATTTTACCATTTAGAAGGGTATTGAATGTTGTTCAAAGTAATATATGGTTGTATTCGGAGAGAAATTATAATAATTTATTTAAGTAAAAATTACTATAATCATATAACTGATAAATTAAATTTTAATGTATTGGATTTAAATTGTAATATAACTCTTCAAACACAAAACCCCACTAATATTATTTTTTCATTTGATAGATAATTTTATTTCGTTTTCACTAATATATGGTTGCATTGAGGTATTTGTGGAGAGATTTTTGCTACAGGTATTTTTCGATATAGATTATCACACAATTTCTTCATAACTCAAAAACTTGTTTGATTTATATTATAATAAACTCAAATTTACTTATTCAAATATATAATTATTTCATGTTCTAATAGAAAATTCCATGCCCTTTTCAGCGGTATGTGACTATACAAGGATATTTGGAGAGAGATTTAAGCAAATTTCACTTGTATTTGTGACTGGTAAATTAAAATCTACTGCATTGTGTTTTAAGTGTAATAAAACTCTACAAACTCAAAAGTAATTTAGTGAACTAATATCATTTTTGAAATTTGGTAGAAAATTGTAAGATGCTTTCACAAATATATGTATTGGGGAGAGATTTTAGCTAGAAGTAGTTTTATATATTTTTTCTCTATTTTAAAAATGTATGTTTAAGATTTTTTTTTACATGAAGAAAAACTACAATGCTAAATCTTATGATATCAGCAGATTTTGTATTAAATTTATGACAAATGAATACATTTCGAAAGCTCTTGGTCAATGAATATTGGTTTTACAAATGAAAACCAAACAGGTACATGCTGGTTTTGAGCCCAAAATGTCTTCCCAAGTTCCAAATATTTCAAAAGTTTAAAAACCCATAATCCTGAAACCGATCGTTAGAATTGGCTAAAATTTTTAATTGTATACATATTTACTAAATATTTACAAATTTACAAAAGATTTTAGGGCGTTGGGTTATGGCCCCTGGGTGATTTGGCATGGAATGACCCAATAGTTAAATGTTATTAGCATTAAAACTACTTAATACAATTTCGTCATCTACTCTAATATTAGCTAACATAGTTATTGTTTATAATTGTTGTAATGGAATAACTTTTTGAATAAAACATGTATAACAGTAGCCATCACCATATAAATATAACTTTTTAGTGCTTACAATAAAAATGAGTCATTATAGGAGATTGAGAAATGATTATTTAAATATTAATTGAACAGAGTTAATTCTTTAGGTGAAGTTGATTGTAAGTTCAGATTTAGGGAGGTTATAAAATACATGTTACTTTCTAAACATAATATTCTTCATTATCAGTAAAAACAAATATAATTTTCAAATTGTCTCCGATTAAGCGCACTCGTACTGATACCATCATACTAATAAAGATACTGATCTTGAACTCAATAATTTATTTTCTGAGGGATATTTACATGAACTTTATTATTAACGATAAAATCTATTGCGCAACCTGATAAAATTACAATGGACATGAGAAAATCATATTTGCATATCTTTAGAGTTATATCTTTGTTTAATCGTCATTTACATGGTAAAATGAGTATATTTAAATGCTTTGTGGCAGTTAAAGGTGCTAACAGTATAAACAACCTTGCGTTGCATGTAAATTGCATTTAATATTTCTGGCACTACGACAATCTCTTTCTGCCTCTCTCACACACACTTCTCTCTTTATCTTTCCATTTTCCTCCTTCTCTCCCTATTTGTCTATTTCTAATAGATATTTGGTACGATTTTATAATTGTATGTATCATTCCTCTATCATATCATCAACAATCATCGACCTTCCTACGCCTACAATCTTCTCCAATTCAAGTCCTCAATCCACTCCCTCTCCACAAGATTTTATTTTATATATTTTTTTTCAACAGAAACACAGATTTTACTGTTAAGAAGAATTTAATTTTTTTTTTTTTGTATATTTTCTAAAAGGGTTTATTTATATTCAACCATTGTACATAGTTTTAAGTATCTTAGTATGGTTTCGCGAGTTTTGTATATAGATTATTTTATTTTATTTTGTATATATTATGTATAACTAATATTTTTTTTTTTTTTTTTTTTTACTGATTTATCTTTATCTTTACTTTTTATCTGGCCAGATGAAAATTTTTAATTTCTGTACTTTTTTGTTATTCTGAAGGGACATCGTCCCAGGATAAAATTATTTTCTATTCTATTCTATTCTATTTAAAACCTATGTAACACTGAGATAGGAATATTTTCCATTTTATACAAGACACTTCCATGTATTGACAATCTCATAAATAGATCAATAACAATTATGTGAAGCTACTTTTCGAAAATAATAACAATCGGGAGCAATATAACAGTTTTTATTGATACGAACCAAATATACGGGAAGGAAGTAATTTGTTATATAGTAAAACTTTGTATAATGATAACTATAAATAAAGAGAAAAACAGTCATTTTCTAGAATTTATTTTAGTTTTAACAATTATTTTTCCAATTTAACAATTTATTTACTATTTAGTTACTTAAAACATCATAATTTTAATTGTTTGTAAAACATATAAATAATAGTTTGAAAATAATTATTTGAATATAATAATGCGTTCTGATGTCATTATAATATAAAAAGGATCTTTAAAAGACAGGACTCCATTATTTAATTTCTTTCCATTATTTTTTGGAATTTGATCCAGTAGGATATTTTGTCAATACCACGTTAAAGAAACGAAAGTGAAAATTGCATTTTCAGACTGAATTTTTTTTTTTTAATTTAGAATTTATTTTGCAAAAACAAAATTTATGGATACAAATCTAGGGCTCATTGGGATTTTTTCCTTTACCTATAAAAGTAGCTATATGTAAAACAATGATACCATAATAAATATATCTACAGTTGAATTTTTGTCTTGGTACTGGCGTGGAAGACTTCTTAATTGAAACCTCTGAACTTTTAGGTTTTGGTTTTCAGGAATTAATTCAATTAAATTATCAAAATTTGGCGTTTAAGGTCGAAGTACTAATTGTCATTGTGATGAATAATTTGAATACACAAGATAAGGGCCAATAACTGAAGAGGACAGTTTATTCGAAGGTCATCCATCAACGATAAGGCACCTCATTAAGCTCATTGAAATGTTACATTACCATGCACGTCAGCAATTCCTACACTGTTTAGACCAATAACCAACAAATTTTCAGGACTGATAAATAGTATAATTGGAATGTTTCATGAAAAAAATGCATATGTTTGAAAAATTGTCGCCCGTGTCGGGGTATTGTTTAAGTTTTATTAATAGTTATCATTTTTAACTAACCTTTGTACGTTTAACTAAACCTCATAATTATAATGTTGATATGACTTAAATTTAGTCTTTGAATATAGTGGAGAAAAGTAAAAAAATGATGAGACGGTAATAAAAAAACTATTAGAATATAGGTATCAACAAACTAAAAGACTCTTCATTCCCAAATCCGAATTTAAAAAGCTTTCACCAGTTGAGGGTAAATTGCATAAGATACGGTTGGCTTTTCAAAGAGTTCTGAATATAGAATCCTATTTTTACCATTTGCCAAAGCAAACTAACGCTTGGGATAAATGCAAAGCATCATGTAGGATTAATAAAAGATAATTAAATACAAATATTTTATTCCACCAAATAAAAATTTATTAGTCTTTTACAATAGTTAACTTTGCCCTCCCATATCAACAGAGGCATTCTAATTATTTGAGGAAAAGTCGGTTTCAATAACAACAAGAGACAATAGTACTCATTACCATGACAATAGTATGTGCCTGAGAATCTTTTTGTTCTGTTAAATATTAAATATATATGAATTTGAAATTTTCTTTTTCAGAATTAACAAAATCAAGCTTCATTTGAGGAAGGTGGAGGTGCCGTGAATGTTAAAATAGATTTGAAGGCTGGTAGTTGAGTCAATAGAAATTGCTATAAAAGTAAAACCACATGAAATGCCAGGCTTGGGTCAGAGACATCTTAATATATAATAGAATGGAAGGATGAAAACAGAAAAAAAGAGACCTGTCATATTATTAGAGCAGTTTTGGCCAATGTCCATGTTTGTTCCCGAAGGTTATAACAGTAATGGAGGTACTCACCTTCGTTAAAAGTTGTCCTCGAGATGACGGGAGCGCTAGTGTTCATATCGTCTTCTTCCTCTTCTTCAGCCCCTCCCCGCTGCGAACCTGAGCAAAGAGAGTAACTTTTCAGTACAAGAGGATAATGGCTAGAGCCGATAACTTTGGTTATCCTCCGCCTCTTCCACCACTGCATCTTCCAAAAATGACGGAACGCTCGAAGAAAAGCTGTATAAAAGTACGAAAATATAGGAAAGGTGATGCAGACCTCTCGCCACTAGACTGCGCCACCGTTTGGTATTGGCTCGGAGGGAGGACACGGCGCATGCGCGCCCTCACCCGGCACTAGGGTCGAACCCTATGAACTTCTTACTTCCCTTAATCAAATCCAGGTGTGTCCTACATTACGGAGATGATCAATTTATAATGATATTATCTATCTTTATATAGTTTGTCAATTTTAATACGAAATTACAATTAAAAAGCAAAATTCAAAATAATCATTTCCGATACAATAAGATTTGGTGATGTGCATTACATCCGAAATACAATACGAATCTATAAATTTTGAAAGAAAATAATTTTTACGTTGAGATATAATAATAATCTTGATTTTCAATCACAGAACTATTTAATTTTATTTTAATTAAAAACTTTAATTTATGCCCATTTCCTGTTTTATTTTTATTATTATTTTGTTTTGTTTTTACACTACATTTTTTGATTTCTCTATGGAAATTTGATAAATATAATTATTTTAACTATACAAATAAGAATTTATGGTACTTTTTTTTCTGAATTATCACAAAATATATTATCAAACCGTATCAATCCGTAGTATCAATCCGTAATATAATAAAAAAAATACCATGCAAACGCTTTTGTAAGCGTTGGAATCTACATTATTTTTGATTTGTGTAAGATGCAGAGTGGAAGAAAGAGGATAATTATAAAATTAATAAAAATATAAAATAGAAGTACATTTAAGACTAACAAATTAAAATTAATATTGTTTTACAAATATCGATATTACCTTGATTTAATACAAATTATTCCTTTATATTAAGATAAAACACAAAATGTCTGTAAAAATGAAGTAACATAGTTGTTATATTAGCATACATAAAGTTGACAAATCCTTGTAGTTTTACTGGTACAGATTCACACAGTTTCCTGTACTATACAAGAATAGACACTTAGTTGCTGAAATACATGCATTATAATTTTAAAAAGAAAATATTTTGATTGTTCAAGAATTTAGCTCACTTTAAGATACAAATAGGGACCAATAAAAACAATTGTTTTTCGATTATGGAGGAGAGAGGACATCTGCCCGAAAGCCTACTATCTCCCACAGATCCTTCAGTGCCCTAATATAATGTAATTAACATCGCGACGACTGAAATATATATCTTTTAGGATTTATAAGTGATAAATTAACAACGAAAAGTGTAGTAATCCTGGGTATAAACCGAAATAAAGAGGGATCTGATCTTGTACAATAGATTAGTTTTTTGTAGAAGTATATATATATATATATATATATATATATATATATATATATATCAAATTTATGGTTACAACATTTTATTTCTAATAGAATGTCTCATTAACAGAAATATAATAAGTTCTCTAGCACAAGTAGTATTCGAGTCTGTACCATAATAAGATAACATACACTGCCCCTCCCTCCAGTTGAAGTATATTTAGTTTTTTCACCTGTTGATAATAACTATTTGTATATCACTGATATCAATTACATATTAAGATAAGTAAATGATTGATAGCCCGTTACTCATTATTCAATCAATTCATATTACGTTGTAATTAATATTCATTTTGGTCATCGCTCACAGTAAGACACCGGATAAGAACCCAATAAAATGACATCGCGTAACAAGTTTGGCTACAGCTTTAGTTTGAGTAAGTTGTACAACTATTATGTAGAATTAAAAAAAAAAGTCATAATTAAAAGCTTTTTTTTTTTTGCTTTTTTCTAAGCTTTTTGATTTCGTATTTTTTTTTTTTTTTTGGTATATTCATGAATGAGTGTATAAAAATGTAAATGTTTAATAATGAAAAATTAATAAAGAATACAAACCTATTGAATAACAAGTTTTTATTTCTCCATTATTTTATTGCGAGTGTAATATTATTTTTAGTATATACATACAGTATATATATATACTTATAAAATCTACATATATGCTGTATGATTAATACACAAGTATGATCAATCCGAATAAAATGTATGCACTGAAGAATATATATATGTATATATCGAGTATGTATTTATATATATATATATATGGGAAATAATGAAAAAATCCAAACAAAATAATATGTTTTTTCTCCAAAGAAGGAATCTTAAACAATTTATGAACCTCTCACGCAGCACTCCCCACCTTTTTTTTTTCCTTTTACCATTTTTTTTTCCTTACCACATGTTTTTTCTTTTTTCTTTTTTTTATATAATGTGCGAACTTCAAATAAATAAACTTTAATAACAATAAACACCTTTTAACCTTCACGTGCAGTTTACATTTTTTTAATTTTATCCAATTCTTTATATTCATAACCAAAAGATATAATAATATATAATTTTGATTAGTGGCGTTGATGACCAACAGGCGATATAATCAATAATATTTGCCTCCGATAATGTCGGACCATGAGTACATATTGAGAAATATTTAATAAATAAAATAATATACAAGTAATTCATAAAAAAAAACTTTTAATAATGTTCACATTTCCGAGACGCTGAAGTTAAAATTGGATGAAATCCGAAATAGACACTGAAAATACAAACAGAGAGATGTTGCAATATTTCTGGTCCTCTAGAGCAAGATTACATCAGCCACTGTACCACCACTTGGTTGGAGAAATGAGATGGCAATATGTGTTATTGTTATTCCATTATTAATTTAAATATTCTTTAATAAGTATATGCACATTCCTCTAAAACATTTTTATTTTATTATAAGTTTATTGCCTACATTATTAATATAAACTGAATATTTATTATGAGGAGTATTTCTTGGACTGGGTAAATAGAAACCCATTTTAGTGATTGTACTTTCCAAACAACGTTTTATACAATGATATATTTTTCCATACACTACGCCATTTTCTTAACATTTTGGAAATAAATGTCAGTTACTTTGTACAAAAAGGTCATAAAACAGTGGCGAAAAAGACACAAATAAAAAAAGACGATTTTTTATTTATTCCTACTGTTTAAAGATCTCTAGTGATGATGACTTTTTTTCTTAGCGATGATGACCAAGAATTGACGATTCAAGTCCAATAAAATAAATCCTCCTCTCTCAGAACAACAACAAATATACATAGTTACATAAAAAATATTCATTAACATTATTGACATTCACATGCTCAACGTAATTATCGGAATAATGTCTGAAACAATGTTGCCAACAAAGAATGATGAAAAAAAAAAAAATCACTCGACCTGTTTCCATGGCACGTTCTGTTAGTGATGCTTGATTATCCAAGCCCCATCAAATTTGGCTCCAATTATTATTGTCACTGTATTATTATTTGATGTATAATGTTTAAAGTTACTTTGCGATTTATTATTATGATATTGATAGGTAATACTATTTATAAATGTTCATTAAATGCTTACGTACTACGTTTTTTATACGCTTTATAAAATTTCGCACTGACAATAAGTTATGAATTTTGAGATTATTTTAGTCACTAATCTGTAAGGTACAAAACAAGCCAAAGACGATACATAAAAGATGAGGTTAAACATACCAGTAAGCTCGAGCGGATCTACGGGGGGGGGGGACTTTCGGGCTGAAGCCCCCCCCCAAAATGGTAAAATATAACCATGTTTTATGAAAAAAAAAGTTTTAAAATACCTTTTAAAGTATTATTGTTCGTGTATTTACATTTAAAAGGACTTAAGGAACCACTTAAACACCATTTCATATAGGTAGTTAGTTTCTTTCTGTTTTTCCAAAGTAATTATCGTTATTTTTATAAAAAAAAAAAACTTTCGGGCTGAAGCCCCCACAAAATTAAATCCTGGATCCGCTAGTGCCAGTAAGTATTCTTCACAGGTTATTTTATCAGGTCTCAGTAACTGCGAATGTATAATTTGAAAATAATCAATTTTATTTTTCAGTAAATATAGTAAATGTTGGTTCATGCAATACTATTTATTCTTTTTTTATTTGTTACAATAAATTAGGCCATTTTTCACCAACATTTTATTATTACGCACCAATTTGACGTTTCGACCATATTAAGGGTCATTTTCAAAACTGGAAAATTATAATATCATTATTAGTTAATATTCAGCAATTATTAAATGAATTTCTTATTACATTTAATTGAATTGTCTAACGTTCTATTCGTAAAACGAATGAAACAACATGAACAAAATTGCAAGTCCAAATCAAACAAATCAAACACATCAACCGGCCTTTCACAACATGCAACATATAACAAACACGAATTTGATTTTAAAAATGCCAAAATAATATACAAGGAAAGTAGTAACAATAAAAGAATGATTATAGAGTCTATATATATTACAAAAAATGTACATAATTCTGTTAACAACCATACAGATGTGGACAATATAAATACTTTTTACGCAAATATAATTAATAAAATTCGTATATAATAATGCACCAATGCAAAACATTAGAAGAAAAATCCATCTCCTTTTGACTATCTCCACCAGGACGATATAAGTCAGTCCCTCCAGAAATGACGTGGGCGAAGCCCCTATATAACATGACAAGTTAATGTTCACTGAACATATTAATTACAACATTAATGATGAACATATTAGGAGGACTCATCAAGGTAATAGTCATTTGTTTTTAATTGTTAAAGTTTTTAATGTTTATAGTTACGTACATGTATGGGTTTTTTTAATAAAAAGTGTATACTTTATGAATATTTTTGTATAAATTTAAGTGTATCGGAAATAATTTGACATAGAACGTTAGACAATTCAATTAAATGTAATAAGAAATTCATTTTATAATTTCTGAATATTAACTAATAATGATATTATAATTTTCCAGTTTTGAAAATGACCCTTAGTATGGTCGAAACGTCAAATTGGTGCGTAATAATAAAATGTTGGTGAAAAATGGCCTAATTTACTGTAACAAATAAAAAAACTTCAAGACACCAAAAGTAGGAAAAATGAACAGAAGAAATATTTATTCCCATTTTCTCAC